GGATTCTCCCTCCGGGTCCTGGGTCCCAGGACCTCCCAGCTCCCTGGGGCCCGGAGAAGCCTGGCTCACATGCCAGCCTCTCAGAGCCGACTCCCACCCCAGACATTGCCTAGTTTTGTCTGTTACGATCACTGGGATAAGAATCAGCATCTCAGTGTCAGGTGCCCACAAATCTGGGCTGTGAAGTGACAATGCTGGGATCACTCATATCCAGGATAGAAACGATAAGCACAAAGGAAAGTCATTTCGATAGTGACCAGAGTCACTTAAAGAAAGCCAAAGGTAAAATGGTTTGCAACAAATACCAAGGTGTTTAAAGTCCTACTTCCCAGCTCCAGACTGGGTTCTTTCCAGTTGCAATGGGAGAGCTTCACTAAAAGTCCTCCAGGGGGCGCCCTGCACCTGTGGCCAACATGGGCATTCCGTCCATGGGGCAGGATCTGCACTTGCACTGCACCTGAAGGACAGTCCTTGGGAATATTTTGTTCCGTTGTTCCATGGGCTGTCGACATCATCTCTCAGTGCAGTGCTCCAGACGCCCATGGGCCGCACACCTCGTTTGGTCCGTGTTAGCCTAGGGCCTCAAAATGCTGTATATTAAGGTCACTTGAAACACATCTTCATTCTATGTTACTTATTTGAAATGCAGTTACTTTCTTTTGTTTCCAGTGATCAATTGCTTGGTTTCCAACGATCAGTTGCTCAGTTTTCTGTTGGAGACTTTCAAAATTTTCTATTGATGTTAAATATTAACCCTGTCATATATTTTGCAAATGATTTCCCCTTTTCTCTGATTGCTTTTTTAAATAATATTTTTATATTCAAAGTTTAAATGTTTATGTAATCAAGTTTATTGGCCTTTTCCTTTCATATTTTCCCATTAATTTATGCTTATAGGGGTTTTTCTCACTGAGTGTATAAGTCTTTATTCTCACTGACTGTGATCACACAGACACAGAGTTGAAGTCCTGCGTCTTGAACCACTTCCTCTGGAACAGGTAGACGCATTTCTAATGAGACGTCTTTCTCCTCACGCAGGTGTGGCGGTCCCAGCCTGTGACCCTGGGGGTGACCTTCGAAGCCGCCATTCTCTGTGACATCTCCCAAGGCCTCTCCTACAGCTGGAGCCTCACCAATTCCGTGGGGTCGCCGGTGCCCCTGCCTCCTGCCATCAGCACCCACAGGCAGACCTTCACTGTCCCCCACTACTTCCTGGAACCCGGGAACTACACTGCGCTGGCCCAGGTGGGCAGCAGCTGGAGGCAGCACCTGCCCAGGCTCATGCTCCCTTCCCATCAGCCTCAGAGACCCTGGGACCCGGACCGGCCCATCCCAGAGGAGGGTGCTCTTAAATCCCTGGCATTCCTTTAAGGCCGTGATATGTTTGGGGTTAGAAAGGGAGCTTAAGGGTAAGCTAAACAAAACCAACACCATGGGAAAATGTACTGTTGGCAGAGAGGTTATAGACCAGGGAATAGTTGGGTGTTCTTATGTCCCCAGACCCAGAACCCCAGCTTCATGTTAACACAGACACGGAGAGGAAAATGCCCCTGCTCCTGTACCCCAGCCCCTCTGTCCCCAGTGGGCCTCCTGCTCCCAGACTCCAGCTCCTCTGTCCCCAGTGGGCCTGCTGCTCCTGTACCCCAGCCCCTCTGTCCCCAGTGGGCCTCCTGCTCCCAGACTCCAGCCCTTCTGTCTCTAGTGGGCACCCTGCCTGCCTCACTGACGCCCCCTTGTTGCCCATGTTCCAGGTGCAGGTGCGAGGCAGTCCTGTGCACAGCAATTACTGCGTGGGAGTGGAGGTGCGTGCCCGGGCACCTGTCAGCGTGATCTCCGAGGGCACACACCTGTTCGTCCCCAGGACCCCCTTGTCTACCATGGTCCTCAGGGGGTCCCTGTCCTACGACCCAGACAGGCCCGGGGCCACTCTCAGGTGAGCACTGGGGCTGTGGGGCCCTTCCTCCTTGTCCCAGCCTTCCTCCTCCTCTGCCCTCTCCACACTCAGCTCTGGGGCGCTGAGTTATAATCTACACAATTTTAAGGACCTTTACTTTTATCAAAGTAGTGTTTCATTTAGGATCAAAATGTAAGGGAGCTTTGGAAAGGGGCAGAATGAGTACCCTCTATGTGCTGGGTCCCTCAATGTCGGGTCCCTGGGCTCAGGCCTTGGTCCTCATCTCCACCCACTCCCCATCCCTGGGTGCCTGACCCAGTGTCTTGCCATGGACACTGTCCACACTCCACAGACACCATCCACATCGGTAACCTGGAACATGCATCACTGAGAATCATCCGCTGCTCCCTGGCAGGCCCCCCAGGAAAGCCACTTGGTGACACCACGGTCGCTAACTGACCAGAGCCGGCACGTCAGCCCCTCCATCGCTTCCCCACAGGTATCACTGGGCGTGCACCCCAGCCAGTGCCCCCGGCCGCCCCTGCTTTGCTGGGCCCTCTGCACGCAGCCCGGATGCCGGGGCGCCCACCCTGTCCTTCGCAGCGGACTCTCTCAGCAGTGGCTACGACCAGTTTCTTGTGACATTGACGGTGTCCAGCCACGGCCGGAACTCTTCCGAGGCGCAGGTGTTCCTGTCCACCCTCCCTGACGTGGCGCTCAGGTGCCAGCTGCCCTGTTGCCCCACAATGCCCATCTGGGTGCCCCAAGCCAGGCTGGGGGTGGGAGCCACCAAAGAAACCCACTGTGCATGTGGGAGATGGGCTCAGACACCGACCCGCTGTGCTGACGTGGGGCTCCAAGGGGGAGGTGCCCTCGCCTCCTAGCAGCTGCCTGGAGACGGGGTTGGCTCCAGGGCCCAGGGCCGAGGGCACAGAGGCTGAGTGTCTCAGGGCCTCTGTCCTGGCCTTCAGGCGCCACTGGGCACCATGGGCCCACAGGGGGGAGGCACCTGTCAGCTGAGTGTGATGTCACGGAGGCCACTGGCACCGAGGGCCACGCCCTGTCCCAGACCCTGAATGCAGGTCGGCGTGTGCCACAGCTGCTTTGGCCTCCTGGTAGGCGGGGGTGGGTGTCGCCTAGTGCCCTCAGCTCCACGGGACACTGGGCAGGCGGCCTCCATCCCTGGACCCTGCAGTTACTTGTGTAAAAACACCTCGTGGTCACAGCCTGTGCTGGGCGAGCTCCAGAGGCCTCCTGGGGGAAGCGCTCAGCCTCCCTGAGCGGTGGGGTGAGGTGGTGCATTGGCCCCCGGGACCAGGTGATCTGAACAAACCTGACCTGGAAAATGCGGCCAGAGCGTCTCGCCCTGTTTTCTGGAGCTCCGGCCTGGTTTGCATGTTGCAGGCGCGTGCACATCTCCTGGGAGACGTTCCGAGGCGTCCCTGTGAACTGGAACGAGGAGCTTTCGCTGCGGGCGGCTTGTGAAGACTGCGGGGAGGCGGCCCTCTCTTACTCCTGGGACCTCTTTTTGGTCAACGCTACAGGAGGGGACAGAGAGGAAGGTACAGACCAGCTTCGTTTTCATTTTATTTTTTTAGAGAGAGGGAGTGGAAGGGAGAGGGAGAGACAGAGAAACATGGATGTGAGAGAGACACATTGACTGGTTGCCTCCTGCAAGCACCTGACCTGGGCTGGGGGTTGAGCCTGCAACCGAGGTATGTGCCCTTGACCAGAATCAAACCTGAACCCCTTCAGTCCACGGGCCGATGCTCTACCCACTGAGCCGAGGCAGTGAGGGTGTGCGATGCTTGGCTTTGTTGGCGGAGTGGTTATTTTGAGATTGCTAAAATGTGTGAGATCTGATTGGCTTGACCCAACGTGTCTGGTCTTGGCATGAACTATTCGTCCCCAGTCCCTCCTGGCTTCACCCTTGGGAGGGCGGTGGTGACGGCCGAGACGAGGAGCCTCAGCTGCTGCCCTCAGCCTGGGGGCAGCGGGGGCTGCGCCGTCCCCACTGGGGCAGCTCTCCCGGGTGACAAACGCACTGAGCGCTTTGAAATAGCACACGCCCCCGCCACTCTGCTGGGGCCATTGTCCCTCCCCTGCTGTCCTCGGGGCCACTTGTGGGACCAAGAGAGGAGCCGTGGAAGGTGGTCCTCGCTCCGCACACCGGCTGTGATGGGAGCACTGCTCTGAGACTCTTCTTGGGTGGAAAATGTGGGTCCTAAGACTTTGCAAGGAGGCAAAGTCACGAGAAGTCACATGTGGGAACACAGCCCTGGTGGCGGGCGCGGGCGTGGGTGGCAGGCTCCTGGCTTTGGGCCAGAGGTGATGTTGTGCCGGGGCCACGTGGACCGGACAAGGGCTGTGTTCTGAGCTGGCTGTGCGGCCCTCAGTAGGGCGGTGCCGTCCACACTCCTCACGTGTTTATGTTTCCTCGGCGCCAGAGGAAGCATACACACTGGGAGTGGCCCCGTGTTGAAGGAACAGGATGACACGGAGGGTCATGTGCCATCTGGCCGGTGACCGTGTGGGTCTGAAGCCAAGCCTGTACTCAGTGTCCCAGGGCGCAGGGTCACCGTGTGGCTGCCCTTTCTCCAGGGCCAGCGCTCGTCCTCTCGGGTGTGGCCCAGCCCTGTTCTCACAGAATCTGACTCACGTGGCAGCAGGGATGCTGACAGGGCTGTGAGCTCTGCGTCCACGTCCTGGCAAAGTTGTTCCTTGTTCTTGACCCTGTTTCCTCAGTCCTGCAGCACAGACAGGTGAATGCAGGTTAGGAGAGGCTCCATGCGCCCAGAAGTTTCTAGCGTTTTTGTGAATGCCCCAGTGGGGTGCAGAGCATGTGGCGGGGCCTGTGGGAGGCGAACCCAGGGGAGATGGACGGGCCGGCCTCCCAGCAGCCGGGCTGCCCCACGACACCTCTAGGTGCAGTTTTCACGTGGTGGTTGTTCAGGACAGAACATGCTCGTGGAATCAGTACACGTAGAGAAACCAAATGTCTTCTGTGTTCAAGTTCCCTTTTGCAGAACCGTGGGGCTGCTGGGCTCCTCAGGATTGGGGTCTGTGTCGAAGCTTCCCGAGTCCTACCCACGGTCCCCAAGGCCACGCCGGACCGAGCCCCACGCCACGCCTGTGCCGTTCGCACGGGAGCCACGGCCCTGGACCCTGGGCCAGGCTGGCCTCTCAGCCACGGGGAGAGCCTCCGTGGAGTCCATGGTCCCTGCACCCCAAGTTCCCGCTGCTGGTGACCCTGTGGCCCCAGAAGGGGATCCCTGGGATGAGGGGTCCCCGGGGAGTCCAACCCCTCACCCCCCTGGTAAGTGCTGTCCCCTCACTGGTACCTGCCCTCGCCCTGGAGGTGCCCTCCGGGCCTTGTGTTCGTCTCTGATGGGCCCAGAAGAGTTGACTGAGCCAGGCTCTGCCCACACCACCTCCTCATCCTTCCTCCCCAATGGCCACGGGTGCCCTGTGTCCCCGCTTTCAGGTGGGACAAGAACTATTTCGGTGCCTAGAAGGTGAGAGACATTCCTTGTCAGTGATCCAGGCTCTGGCCCAGCACTCACCTGCCCCTCCCGTCCCTCCCTGACGCCATCCAGCGTGGCCGCTCAGGGTCATGGTCCTGTGCCCTGGCAAAGGCCTGCACCCCAGAGTCCCAGCCTTGGGGTCGTTGGTGGGAGAGCCTCCATGAACCCCTCAAGTGTAGGAGGGAAGTGCCTGGGGACAGAAAGGTGACAGTGGCAGCCGGACACTCCTGTCGGTGTCTCCCATGGGAGACAAGAGTGAGGCCCCGGAGGACAGTTCTGGGCCTTGGCATCCCCCCAACTAACCAATGGAGCCCTACTTGTTGGGGGAGCAGGGACAGCGACTGCCTCCCCACTGTCCCATGTGCTGGGCGTGGCCTCTGGGGGTTTTGTGCCCGCAGAGCAGGGCTGGGGCCCTGAGGTGGCCCAGAGCAACGTGTGTGCTCCCTCGGGTCCTGTGTTTCAGGGGAGCCTGGTTTACGGGAAACGCTCTCATTCTGTCCTTCACGCAGACTTTGAGGCCTATTACAGTGACGTCCAAGAAGCGGTGCCCTCGAGAGGACGGCAGCCGGCTGCCTGTGAGTCTGCTCTCCCCTGAACCCAGGCCCCTCCCTGTGCTCCAAGGCCGAGGGCAGTCTGCGCTCCTTTGGGTGGCAGGGTCTGGCCCTGTTTCCAGCTTACCTGCTGGGGAGCCCAGGCCCCGACACTGCCGCTCTCCCATCCTCGGACATGGGCGGCATCTGCCAACAGGCCTCCCTCGGCGCTCCTCCCAGGCCTCACCTTACCGCCCCTCCCCAGCCCAGAGTGTGTACCCCCAGCCCCCTGTCCTCAGGCTCTTTCTGTCTCTCTATTCTGCTCTGCAAGGCATGTTTCTTGTTTTAAAATAATTTTTATTTTTCCATTTTAGTTGACAGAGGATATGACATTAATTTCAGGTGTACACCATAGTGATTAGACATTTATATATTTTACTAAGTGGTCCCCCTGATATTTCCAGTACCCACCCGGCACCATTCATAGTTATTACAATACTATTGATTGTATTCCCTGTGCTGTACTTCATAGCCCAATGACTTTTGTAACAGCCAATCTGTGCTTCTCTTAAGTCCACAGGCCAATGCTCTATCCACTGAGTAACACCAGTCAAGGCCAATCTGTGCTTCTCAATCCCTTCACCTTCTTCACCCATCCCACCGCTCTCCTCTGGCAACCACCAGTATGTTCTCTGTATCTATGAGTCTTTCTGTTCATTTGTTTTTTTAGATTCCACGTATAATTGAAATTATATGGTATTTATCTTTCTCTGTCTGACTTATTTCACTCAACACAGTACCCCTGAGGTCCCTCCATGCTGTCACAAATGGCAAGATTTCACCCTTTCCTACGGCCGAGTCTATTCCATCCTATATGTGCGTCTACTGCTGGGCACTCAGTTGCGTGCACGCGTTGGCTCCTGTAAAAACACTGCAGTGGCCACAGGAGTGTACACATCTCTTTGAATAGTGTTTGGGTTTCTTCAGATAAGCACCCAGAAGCAGAGTTGCTGGCCCTTCTCTATCTTGTGGTATAGCCTTCATTTTAAATGTCCTGGTATAGTTACTGCTGCCCTGCCTTTCAAGTTCCCATTTCCATGAAATACCTTTTCCACCCTCGACTCACAGCCTGCACCTGTGGATCTGAGTGGGTCTCTTGTAGGCAGCACATGTGAGGGTCTTGCTTTCTTGTCCATTCACCATCCTACATCTTTTGGTTGGAGCATTTAATCTGTGTACACCTAATGATTGCTGACAGACATGTAATTTCCGCCATTTTATTATTTATAGTTTTGATCTTTTTTTCCCCTTCTTCTTTTAAAGAAGTTCCTTTAAGTTTCTTGTAATACCGGTTTGTTGGCGACGAACTCCGTTAGCTCTCTCTTGTCTGGAAAGGGAAGGTTTCCAAGGCAGTACACTTGTATTGGCCCTCAGTGCGCATGTTCTCGCTGACAACGCATGACCAGGAGTGAGTGGTTCATCCAGCCCATGAACAATGCTTAATAGATGCACAACTGCGGATACTTTGTTTGTTGAATGAATATTGAGTGAGTGAGAGTTACTTGTCTACCGCATGACCAGATGGGTGGTCAGTGAGCCCTTTGTTTATGACTCACTGTGCTGTGCTCTTTGGCCATCCCCCTGATCAGCCTGGATGCTGGTTCCTCTGACCACCCCATGCTCCTTCTGCTCCCCCAGGCCTGTGAGGGGCTCACTTCGCACTCCCAGCAGGTGCTTCATAAATAACGTTGAATGAGGGAAAGGCCTGCGTTCATAAGTCACTCCTCCTGATGGTTCAGTCCTTCTAACCCCAACATGGATCCACTTTATCATTTCACCTTGTTTAACGGCATTTGTTTGGAGTCCGAAGTCGGCGTTTCCTGAGCAAGCCTGGCACCCTCCCCCCGCTGGACAGACAGACATTGTCTCTCTGCCCGGGCCAGCGGCCCAGTCACCTCACACACCCAGCCCGGCCCAGCATGCCAGGCCTGCCTCCCAGGGCCCACACAGGGGACGACGGAGGGAGCTGAGGTCTCATCTCTTCTTTCCTGCTCCCCCTCCAGCCACACCCAGACCCTCCCTGAGCAGCTTTTTCTAAAGCCCATTCCCTCTGTCTGAGCCTCTCCCCCGGGCTGCCAACCCGGCCCTAGAACGGCCCGTCCCAGCCCCTCCGTGCGCCTGCTCTGTCTCCCCAGAGCACTTCCGTCACTGGCTTTCCTCTGCTCGTGGTGTGTTTCCTCGAGTGTTTCCTGACACCCTCACCTAGACGTCCACATGGCAGGGCCCGCTCCGTCTGCCGTGGTGTTTCCTGTAGACTCACTCCTGGCCGTGGCCCAAGCACATGTGAGCTGGGGAAATGCCGCGGAGCCACTGATCGTGCGAGGCGTTTAGACAAGCGGGTCCCGAGAGAGTGGGCAGCACTGATCTCAGCCTTGAACCACTAGCACTTTAAGGGAACCATGGCCACCTTTGTCTCCGCCAGCCCTGACCCGGCATGTCTCCTAGGGACCAGCATGCACCTCTCAGCGTCGGGACCCAGTGAGGACGGGAGCCGTGGGGATGGGGACAACCTGGTGGGCCACTTCCTCCCGACCGCCAGTGCCCGGCCTGCACTCCTGGTCGACTGGCCCAAGTCCCCCGTGAGCCGAGCCGTTTTTCAGGGCTACACCGCGTCCGGTACGAGTGCCCCTCTGCCCTGGAACCTTAGCGGTCGCAGAGGTTCCAACACCAGCCTCCCCCTCCCCCCATTTCTTCTGGGCCTTCTCCTTGGACTAGAGACAGACTGGGGGTCATGATGCCTCTTTAGTTTTGCTCGTCCCTCAGTGGCCACAGGCCTGCGGGTGTCCCTCGCTTTTGCAAAGTAAGGGGAAGAGGCTGCTGAGCAGGCACAGGCGCAGAGGACAGTGCCGCCCCCTCGTGCACGCATCCTGTATGCCTGCTGGGGTGTGTGTGTGCCTCCCCGGGTGTGTGCGCGCCTCCCAGGGTGTGTGTGTGCCTCCCCGGGTGTGTGCGCGCCTCCCTGGGTGTGTGTGTGCACCTCCCCGGGTGTGGGTGCGCCTGCTGGGGTGTGGGCCCCGGGCCTGCAGACTGAGTGCAGGACGCTGCCCGAGGAGCATGGCGGCAGCTGAGTGAGCCTCTGTCTTTGAGATCTTGGGCCCGTGGTCCGCAGTCGCGCTTGGGTCCAGGAGTCCCTCCCACTCCTGGAGACACTAGGCCAGTGGTCGGCAAACTCATTAGTCCACAGAGCCAAATATCAACAGGACAACGATTGAAATTTCTTTTGAGAGCCAAATTTTTTAAACTTAAACTATATAGGTAGGTACACTGTTATTAACTTAATTAGGGTCCTCCTCAGGCTTAGGAAGAGCCACACTCAAGGGGCCAAAAAGCCGCCTGTGGCTCACGAGCCGCAGTTTGCTGATCACTGCACTAGGATGTCGTTTGAAAGGGATCCACTTGGTTTAGGGGCCTCCTCAAAACACTCGGACAGCGTTCTTCCCAGAGTCCTCTCCTTCCTGGGAGTCGAGGGCCTTCTGACTGGCCCCTGGATTGGGCTCCGTTTGACTCCGTTGAGTGGGAGCAGAGATGAGCTTCGTGCTTTGTAATAAGGGGCCGGAGGTAACGAACAGACGTGTCCTTTCCAGGTGAGACAAGCAGGGCTAATGGGACCTCTTTGCTCCTTCGGCTGCAGTGGCCGAGGAAGGGTGTGTCTGAGCTGCTGCCCTTGGGGTGCCCTGACGAGTGGTCCCCGCCCCTCATTTTCCGCAGGGATCACGGGACAGACGGTGACAGTGAAGCCGCACTCACTGCGCCCTGGAGAGACATACGTCCTGCAAGCAGCGGTGGGTAGGTGGCCCCTGGGCCTGGCGGGGAGCTGAGCCACGTGCCTGCTGTTAGGATGAGGGTCAGCTTCCTCGGAGTTTTACACAATTTAACACATTTAACTTGTGCCTGTAATTTATTTCAAGAAAAAGACATCGGAAGTAAAAAACAACTTTATGCATGAGAATTATCATTTCAGGGTAATGGAAAATGAAATGTTTAGTCATTGGGAAACAGTCGTTATGCAGTTTAGAGAATACAGTGGGGCCTTGACTTACAAGTTTAATTCGTTCTGAGACCGAGCTCGTTAAGGAGCTCATTAACTCAAATTACTCGATCAACTCAATGCAAAAAATCTGCGGAGAGACAGCTGGTATCTCAAAAAACTCGTTAGTCGGGACACTTGTAAGTCAAGGCCCTATTGTACTATACTTATTTATGACATTGATTTTGAATGCTGTATGGCATCACAGGAAACATTTACAGTTATCAGTGCAGCTTATAGAAGCCAAATAGAAACCCTATCAGTGCTGTAGAGTTCAGCAGCGATACTTGCGTGTTCCGGACAGGGCTGCACACAGCGGGAGTGGAGGGTCTGGTTTGCTGGGGTGGATTCTGCCTATGAGGCTGTTGTCTGGCTCCCAGGTCTTGTCCGTCCACCAATCTCTCAGGGTCTCGGGCACGGCTGCCCCAGTGAGCAAGCACCCAAATAGTGCTGCATCAGTGGGTGCCGCATGGCAGGGGTCCCGGGCCCAGCGTCCCCTGATGCAGGCACTGGCGTAGATTGCCGGCCCCTCTGGGTCTGACCCAGCAGGTTGGGGTGTCCCCGGGGTCGCGGTCTGTCAAGATCACAGCAACGCCAAAGCCGCAGATCTGGGGGCCACATGGTCTGTGCTTTGAGAACCTCTGGGGCTGCCTTTGGTTCCCAGCATGCAGGTGTCACCCCTCTCCCTGCAGCTTCGGGGCACAGCTTTCTAGGGAAGGCTCAGCTGTATGTGACCGTCAATCAGGCTCCGCGGGACGTGGCCTGCCAGGTGCAGCCCCACCGCGGCCTCGAGGCAGACACCGTCTTCAGCGTCTTCTGCACGTCGGGGAGGCCGGTGAGCACGCAGACCCCGTCTGTCCTGAAGGATAGACCCTGTCTGCCTCTGATGAAACGCTGGGGGTGTGAGTGTCCTCATCCCCCCGACTGTGCATCTGTGACTGTCCCAGGTCCCGGCCAGGAGAGCCCACGGCCGCGAGTGACAGACACAGCCGCGTGTACCTGCCCCAGTCCATCTGTGCCTGACCTCGGGTGGGTGAGGACGGGGTGTGAGGACTTAATGGGGGTAATGCTGTTTGCTCACCTGTGCTCTTTCCTTCACTACGGAACGGATCGCAGGACTTCCGCTATGAGTTTGGTTACCAGATAGGAAACGCCTCCAAGTGCACCCTGTACCGGGGGACAGACGCCCAGCACTACTTTGCACTGCCAGCTGGGGAGCCCATGGATGGTTATCAAGGTGAGCCCCGGACAGATGGTGGGCAGGACTCCACTCCGTCTCCCCAGCAGGGACCCCACCACAAACCCTGGCCCTGTCACAGGAAGGAGTTCCCGAGTCCCCAAAAAACTGCTTCCTGCCATGCCCATGTCTGTGCATAAATGACTTCAGTGGGGTTCTCCATGCCTTCGTCTGGACCTGCCATAGCCCTGCCCTCCCTCGGCCCTGGTTCCAGCAGTACCAGCCTGGACCTGCACCTCGGGGTCTGCGGACCCCTCCCTGGCCTTGCCCGCTCGGCACTCACCACGTTTTTAACTTGACTGTAGTCCTGAGTAGGCAGGGAGGTTGAGACAGGGGCAGTCCTGGCCACCCTGGCATCTTGCTGCTGTCGGTACACAGTGCAGGCCAGTGACAGGGAGTGAGCGTGTGAGCCATGGCTCATTTCCTGACCCTCCGCACGACGGCTGCCTGCCCCCACCCCATTTTGCGGGCTGTTTCCCTCCCGGCTATGCATGCACCCCCCGCCCTGCCCTGTTCCGTGTGGATTCGCCTCAGCTCTGCCTCCTGGAGGTCCCGTCACCGCCCAGCACACAGGTGGACCAGTGGTGTCGGGACTGGTCCTCTGGGCTCTTGTCTCTCCCTTGCCATTGAATTTGAAGAAGTTTCTCTGCCACACAGGCGCTGACCTCTGCTTGTCCCTTCCAGTCCTGGTGTCCACTGTGATCACTGATGGTGACGGCTCCCAGACGCAGCCCTGTGCCGTGGCCGTGACTGTGCTGCCCCGTCTCCATGGGGACCGCTGCCCCGGCCAGGAAGTGTGAGTGAGGCTCTGTGTCCCAGCCGCCTCCGTGGAGTCCTTGGTGGCGCCTGCAGCCCAGTCCCCGACGTCTGCGCGGGCTTCCCGCATGTGCTCTGGGGCTGTACCGCTCGTCGTCTTTCTTCGCACAGCTCACTCTTCATGGGTGTCAACTCATATACCATGGAGTTCGCCCGTCTGCAGTGCACACATCCTTGGGTTTCCTACGCTTACAGTTGCCAGACGAGGACCTTTCATCGATTCCACAGTCCTTGTTCTCAGTGGTCCCATCCCTGTCCCCACCCAGCTTCCTCCCTCCAGCCCCAGCCCTGGATCTCATCCGAGAGCCCACTTCTGTCCCCAGTTTTGCTGATTCTGGACCTTTTATGTCAATGGGGTGATGCCCCCGGTGGTCTTCTGTGACTGGCTTCCTGGACTCACTTCCTGTTACGTGTGTGAGGTGCATCCTTGTTGCCAGACCTCATTCCTCTTTGTGACTGAATGACAGTTTGTCTTGGATGCGCCACGGTTTTCTCCATCTTCAGCTGATGGCTGGTGCGAACGGTGCTGTGAGCGTAGATGTGGACGTGTTTTCCTGTCTCAGGCGGATTCCTGGGCGTGATTGCCGGGTCTCACAGTGATGCTGTGTTGACCATTGTGAGGTCCTGCCAGACTGTTTTCCCAAGCGGCTGCTCGTGTACCTGTGGGTCCCGCGTCGTGCTCACCAGCTTGCTCTGTGCCTGGCCCTGGTGACGGACGGTGCTGGCATCTGCCCATGGGCTTTGTGCCATCGCTGTCTGTCCCGACACCGTGGTCTTCACCGGCTGCCTCTCCATGACTGAGGCTGCGAGTCCCTCATGTTCTGGCGACATCCCTCGTCAGGGAAGTGACTTGTGCACGTTTCTCCCGCCGCGGGTTGGGTTTTCTCTTCCATGTGGTGTCACTGACACACAAAAGTTTTAGGTTTGATGAAGTCCAACCTGTTCTCTTACTGCTGGTGCTTTTGATGCATTTAAGAAATTACCGCCCACCCCAGGCCAGGACAGTCACTCCTGCCCTCTTCTGAGAGGCTCGCGGTCTCACTCACAGAGCTGAGCCTTGGAGCTGGGGCGTGTGGTGCGAGGCAGGCTCCAGGCCTGCACTTCTGCACGTAGCCAAGCAGTGTCCCTGCACCACAGGCCAGAAAGGTCCCCTCCCCCCGAACCGTCTTCGTCCCTTTGTCAGAAGTCAATGGGCCACAAGCGTTAGTGTCTATTTCTGGGCCGTCCACGCTCTTTCATTGACCTTCAAGTCTCTTACACCAGGACCACACTGTCCAACTGCTGAGTGCGAAGTAACCTTTGAAGTGGGGAGCATGAACCCGCAGCTGAGTCTGCGTTTTCAGGGTTGTGGTTACTCTGAGCCTCCTGGTAAATAGTTGGTCCGTTTCTACCAACAAGCCCCTGGAATGTTGATGGGTTGCCCGGAGCCAGGATGTCACCTTGGGAACATTGCTGCCTTGGCAACATGAGCCTTCAAACCAGGAGCAGTTTCCCATGTACTTAGATCTTTGCTTTCCTCAGTCACATCGTACAGTTTTCAGGGTACAAACATTGAACTTTTTGTTAAATGGATCATAAGTATTTTGTTCTTTTTGATGTTACTACGAATGGACTTGTTTTCATAGTTACTTGGAGTTTTCTGTAGTGTACACTGATACTTGCGTGTGGATCGTGTGTCCTGCAGCCTTCCACGCACTCGCTAGCTCTGGTGGGCTTCTAGCATATTCCGTGGGGTTTTCTGTGAATGAGACGTGCCACCTGTGATGAGAGAGGGTGTCACTCCCTCTCGGCTGCGCACTCCTGCTGCTTTTTCCGCCGAGCAGAAGTGGCAGAGACCAAGATCCCGGTCCTGCCCCAGGCCTGGGCAGGCGGCAGTCCGCCCGCAGCCTCTCTTCGGGTGGCGCTGACGTAGGTTCTCCACAGATGCCTGTGAGCAGGTGGGAGAAGGCCCTGCACTCGTGGATTTGGGTGGTTTTATCACCACGGCCGTTGGATTTTGGATTTTGTCAGTGCTCTGCTAGATCCATTGAGATGATCACGAGGGCTTGACCTTCCGCCTGCTGATCTGGTGCATTTCATAGGTTGGCTTCACCCTGAATCACTCCTATGTTCCTGGGCTGACCACACGTGGCCATGTGCATCATCCCATCCACTCTGTGGGTCTGGGTGCTGCTCATCACCTCTGCCTATGGGACCACCTGCAGCCGTTGGGGTCTCCTGTCCAGCTCGCACTGACTCCCTTCACCTGCCGTGTGCCTGTGTCACTCTGTGTGGCTCTTGGGCCTGTTCAGCTCTGATAAAGGAGGCTCATAGGATTTGATGTGACTCCTCTCTGTGTCTTTTTCGTTTCCTCTGCACAGACCCGCCCCAGAGTGTTTCTGTCGTGGATACCACACTTGCAGTGGGTGGGCCAGAGTGTTTTGAACATGTTGGACGATCATGGTAACTGTCTGTGTCCTTCAGGTACAATGCTAGCCTGAGGAACCTCTCCACCCTCCAACAGATGGGCAGTGACACGGAAGTCAGGAACTATGTCGCCGTGACTACCAGGGTCCTGAGTCGCTGGGCTAGGGAGGGCGGGAGCCCCTCCTGTGGCCAGTGGTCCGGAATTCAGGACGTGTTTATTTCTTCAATCTGCAGATTAGCTCCCCAGGACCAGGTATGGCCCAGAGTGTCTGTAGGTCTGTCTGTGCAGCAGGAACTGAGACTGGTCAGCTCGCTAGCAAGTGGTCGTGCTGTGAGGTACCATCAGTCATGAGACTGGTGGGCCGGCCTTCGCGCTGATGTGGGGCTGTGGCTCTCACTTGTGCACACGTCTCACAGACGAGTGGGCTGGTTACTAGAGACCCACATCAGCCACGTAGGAGGAAATGATGTAAACCCAACCCGATCCCGCCTGGTAACAACGGCACAGCAGTGAGGCTTACGATTCTGTGGCTTCCAGGGCAGCAACCACGTACTGCTGTGGCACTGTCCTCGCCAGCATGGCTGTGCCTCCATCTTGCCATGGTCACAGAGGATAGTCACATCTACGCCATCGTCACTGTGGCATCACCATGGCGAGGACAGCCACATCTAAGAGCACACTCCATTGTCACCATGGCCACAAACAGCCACATCTAAGGGCACACTCCATTGTCACCATGGCAACAACAGCCACATCTAAGGGCACACTCCATTGTCACCATGGCAACAACAGCCACATCTAAGGGCACACTCCATTGTCACCATGGCAACAACAGCCACATCTAAGGGCACACTCCATTGACACCATGGCAACAACAGCCACATCTAAGGGCACACTCCATTGTCACCATGGCAACAACAGCCACATCTAAGGACACACTCCATTGTTACCATGGGGCTCAGCTCCCCCTGCTGTACTCTGGTCCCTGAGCCCTCAGGTCCCCCCTGATGGGGTGGGAGGTAGCCAGCGGGCGCAAGGCAGGGGGGCCACATAGGCTGGAAAACGTGGGCCCGAGGTGACGGTCTCTCCCATGTCAGCCTCCCTTTGTCTCTGAGCCCAAACATGGGGTCTGCTCCATCTCCGCGCAGCGAGCTGAGCCGTGTGGCCCTGACTGACGGCTGACTCCCTCCCTTGTCATCTTGTCATTTCCATTTCTCCTGGTCAGGAGGAAGCGACCGACTCTGTCCTCCTGCTGAGGGACCTGCTGCGCTTCCCCAACAAGGTGAGTCCCTTGGTCCAGGTGTGTCCCTCCTGCTTCCCTCACAGGGACCTCTGGCAGCTCCGAGTCCTGTGAGGGCCCCGTGAGCACCCGCAGGTGGGTTCGGTTCAGGCAGGTCACCGTTTCGATGTGGGTCACCTCCGCGAGCAGCGAACGGCCCAGCCACGTTCCCTGGGACGTGCTTTGCTTGCCGAGGCCTCTAGTCTCCCCTGGTCACTTTACGGGTCTGGGGACAGACTCGGGGGAGTTAATGTCACTTGTGAAGTTGGTGCCGATCCAGATCCGGACCTGGCCCATCCTCCCCGCCTGGTGTGTGGTGTCCCTCCCGGAGGGCGGGCCAGGTGGCGTGGGCGCTGTTGAGGGGCCTCTACCCCTGCCGGTTTCCACGCAGATGAGCCTCGCAAGCGCTCTTCTCATCCTCGACTGCGCACACACGCTGCTGGCCCCCAGCCGGCCCCCCGCAGGCTGCGCGGTGGAGGCGGGCCAGGTGCGGGAGCTCATCCTTCTCGTGTCTGGGGTCCTGGAGGCCAGCGACCACGGTCACTCAAGGAGCTCGGGCCGCCTGCTGGAGGAAGGTGCTCAGGCCATTGCAGACGTGCTGCTGGTACGGTCTTCCTCCTCCTCGGGTAACGGCTGCTCCTCCCTCAGACAGGAACTGGCTTAGTAATTGCTCTCAAAACCCGCAATGATCTGTGGTCCTGGGGTCTGATGGCTACAATGCCGGGGACCTTGGTCTTGGGGAATGTTCACGGTGAGCTGTGTTTCGTGGGTAGTGCAATGTGCAGTGGATGTCACCCCTGTCCCGTCCCCTAGGTCCAGTGGGTTTCCATGAGGGACATGGGGTCTGTATCCTGAGGGGTGCAGGGTGTAAGGCGGATGGTGGTGTGATGTGGAAGCAGCCCCGACAGACCTGGCCGTCAGCGGTCATTTCATGTGCTCCTGCTGCAGTGACCACAGAACAGTGTGTCAGGATTGGTTGGGTTCTTTCCAGAAGCTTCCATGCCTCCTCGGTCCCCATTTATCCTCTCCCCTGCCCAGACCTGCTGGTCACGTAGCTGGTGCAGGGTGTAAGGCGGATGGTGGTGTGATGTGGAAGCAGCCCCGACAGACCTGGCCGTCAGCGGTCATTTCATGTGCTCCTGCTGCAGTGACCACAGAACAGTGTGTCAGGATTGGTTGGGTTCTTTCCAGAAGCTTCCATGCCTCCTCGGTCCCCATTTATCCTCTCCCCTGCCCAGACCTGCTGGTCACGTAGCTGATACTTGGTGTGATGCTGGGGAAAGGAAAAAGGGGTGTTTTTTTTTTTGTTCGATGTGAGCCCAGTGACCGCAGCCGAGCAGCAGTCGGCACATTTAGACGGCACCTCCCGCCCTGCCTGCTCTGCGCCCACGGCGCTGCGCTCGTGGCCCTGGCAGCCCCGCATGTAGTAGTCAAGGTCTTGGCTCCCTGGGGCTGAGGAGCCCACGGAGCCAGCTGTGGGCACAAGTGAGTGGAGCGTCTCAGGAAGACGCATCGACACAAAAGCAGCTCGCATCCCCATCACAGGGCTGCCCCGTCCTGGGGTCCAGTCCTGGCTCAGGCCTTTCCAGGTGTTTCCGCCTCTTGGGTCTGATCCGGAAGGTGGTCCCGCCCGTCAGTGTTGGACCCGTGCTTTCCAGGGCTGCCTGTCCTCACGCGGTGAGCACCGGGTCCACGTGAGCGCCGGGCAGACGGAGGCCCAGGCGCAACTTCATCGCCACCCTCAGAGCTCCGTGCAGAGCCTGGGCCCCATCCAGGTGCGCCTCCCTGTAGACCTGGCCGGGTGGGAGCCCAGCCCGTGCTACGTGAGCCAGCTCCTGCTCTTCAGGAGGAGCTCCTTTCTACAGGGACGCGCTCCTGGCCAGGTGAGCACTTCCTGTGCCGCCGCTTGGACCCACCATCGAAGTCGGAGGCGGAGTGGGCTGGGCGTGCATCACGGCGAGGCTGGCCACAGGTCCCGGGAGGCTGAGCCACAAGGGGACCAGAGCCGAGGGCGTGTGGCAGTGGGGGCGCCGGGAGGAGGTGCCAGCGTTTCTGGGCTGTGAACACGGGCTTCACATCTGCTTGTGTCCAGGTCAAGAGGGTTGGGGCCGGGCCCCAGCGCCGTGCTCCTGTTTCTGTGCGCAGACTCTCGCTCGAGGGCCAGGCTCCCTGGGCCCCCGATAATGTCTGATGGACGAGCATACACAAATGAATGACAAACTCATCATGTGGTTCAAAAATGCTCATTTTCAACAGCAGTCACACACCCCCTTTTAGGGAAATAGACATGAAAATAATCCCAACTAACAAGCAATAAAGAAATAGAGATTAAAGTGAGTTTTTTCAACCTAAAAAGTGCAGTTGTGTAGAGACATACCCGGTGGAGGTGGAGGTGGAGGTGGAGCGAGCAGGTGTCTGCCCATCTGGAGGCACTTCGTCTAAGCGCCCAGGGCTCCAGAAACACCCGGACCCGTTGTTTCCTCCCCCCACCTCCCAGGAAACAGGAGAGATTTCCTCAAAGCGACAAGCTTTATGTGTTTTTTCAGAACGACCGTAGTTCTGATAACCTGGCTGCTCCGCAGACAGCCCGCCCACTGGTTATGTGAATGCATCACTCAGGGGAATCCATAGGTAGCTAATCAAGCTATGACAACCAGGGAGTTGTAGTGGCTTTGGAAGATTTCACGCAAAAACAAAAGTAGAACATTTGCTGCCCACTCAGTGTGTCCCCACCCAGGAGCGCCCGGATGCCCCAGGCAGGCGTCCTCGGGTAAGGCTCGCGGCAGGGCTCGGCAGTGCTGGGGGCCGTCTGCGCCTCTGCTCATTGTCACTCGGCAGCTGTGGCTTTCATATGAGCTTTTAGAATAAAAAATAAAATGCTTTAACAAACTTTAAGAATGATTAACTTAATAAGAGCAGTGCACATGAAGCCATCCCCCACCCCGTCCTGCCGTGACCCCCTCTGGCCGGTGACCCCTGTGTTCCCTGATGATGTAGCCGCCACCTGGCTGGCGTCACCACTGCAAGGCGCTCTGTGTCCCCAGGTTGGTGCTCTGCTGGCCCTGTCCCTGCACCGCTGCTCCAGCCGAAGGCCCCTGCACAAGCCACGGCTGAGGACGCCCGTGACCGTGGAGTTCGGGGAGGAAGGTGCCCCGGTGAGGACAGCCCTGCCCAGTCCCCTCAGCTGTGTTTAGGCTGCCCTGGTGACATGCAACGTCTTCACTCTTCCGAAAGCCAATTCTGCTCGTTGTCCACATGCTGACAGGGCGACAGGAGAAATGAAACGACGTTTGTGCTGCTTCGGGATAGAGTGAACGTCCACCACTTCGCTGGGCTGTCCGCAGCCGGCCCGGAGGCCCTGCAGATCCGAGTGGAGTTCTCCCAGCTGGCCGCCAGGGTGTTCCCCGTCATGTTGCTGGTGAGGTGCGTGGCTGACGCTGTGGGTAGTGGGGTCAGGGCAGGAGACGTGCCTGTGAGAACTCCTGTGAGTGAGGTTGCACTCTGCAGCCGTGTGCGGCGGGTTGTGGAAGAGATGCAGTGACGGCCGCTCAGGGAGGAGGTGTCGCTGCCTCAGACGGACCCAGCCTGCCATTTGCAGGAGAGACTGGACCGTGGAGAGAGCGCAGGTGTCCGTCCAGGACTCTCAGTGCACGTCTGGGCAGGACTCTCAATCTTTCATTTAAAAAATATATTTTTATAGATTGCAGAGAGGAAGGAAGTGGGAGAGAGAGATAGAAACATCATGGATGGGCTGCCTCCTGCACGCCCCGCACTGGGATCGAGCCTGAAACCCAAGCATGTGCCCTGACAGGAATTGAACTCTGACCTCCTGGTTCATAGGTCGATGCTCAACCACTGAGCCACACCTGCCAGGCTGGTGTTTTTTCCAGTGAAGCAACGAGTGAGTGCCACACAGTTCTCGTGACGATGTGGTGCGTGGGGCCCAGCCTGCCTCGCTGGTGAAAGGGTGTCTGCACAAAAGCAGGTGGCAAAGCCCGAGAGGAAAGACTGAGACCAGACTGTGCTCACGGCTCTGCTTGTCCCAGGTTCTCCGA